AAAATTGCAATAAAATTTAAATGAAGCTAACATCGTGACTCACTGCTTTGCCAAGTATCTCTATCAGGCAAGGCATCCCATACAAAAACCCCAGAGAGATGTAACGAAGTATCACATAGGTGTCTCACGCAAGTACTGAAAAGAATATTCTTTTCTGGGCAGATTTTTAACGATGCCCTGATAAAAGTTTGCTACTGGGAGCCAAATGAATTTCTTTCGGAGCCTGATTAACTGGCTGACTGTTGGACAATCCTGATCTAGACCAAATTCAAAATCCTCAATGTATAAAAGATTTTGCCTTTCATGAAAAAAACCCTCCAGCGCCAAATTGAAAGTCATAGCTCCACAGTGCTCCAGTTCCCAGGAAGCATTACATTTTATCTACATATTTGGGCCCTCTTCATTTGTTTGGGCTTCTCTCCACATATACCCTGAATGCACAGAATGTCAACAGTGGCAGGCTCTGTCTGTCAACATCTTGAAACACATGTCTGTAATGTGTGTGCATTTGATGGTATGTACCCTCCTCCACAAAAATAGCTGTTTACTAGGCTGTTTTCCTATGTCATGAAGGCTGAAATTTCAATTCAGTGGAGCAGGGTCAAGGTATTAACTGATAAGCATGAAAATTCAGATATAGCTATATAATCCCTAGTTTAGTAAGAGAAGGAGGAGGAGGAGGAGGAGGAGTTTGGATTTGATATCCTGCTTTATCACTACCCGAAGGAGTCTCAAAGTGGCTAACATTCTCCTTTCCCTTCCTCCTCCACAACAAACACTTTGTGAGGTGAGTGGGGCTGAGAGACTTCAAAGAAATGTGACTAGCCCAAGGTCACCCAGCAGCTGCATGTGGAGGAGCGGAGACGCAAACCCGGTTCACCAGATTAGTGAACCAGACTACCGCTCTTAACCACTACACCACACTGGCTCATAAGTCCTTTGGAGCAGGCATTTTCAAAAAAAGATTTTTATGAACCACCCTAATATGATGGGAAATTCTGGGGGGAGGGGGGTCCAGCTACTGTGAGGGTGAACATTGCCCGCCACTGCCCATGAATTCATTTTTCCCCCATGTGCAGGAGCATTAATGTCTGAAGAGCATTATGTGACGTGTATACATCCCCTTTGTTTGAATGAACAAACATAGGAATGCTATGGGTCTTTTGAGGGGGTTGCATTGCCTTGGATGTGCAAGTCATGGCCCTGCTGAAAATGTCATCCATATTGCATAGCCCCCCCCCCATCTCTGAGCAGTGTGAGATTGCAGGGGTTCCAGATGCTTACCGGGGTTCATGCTTCCTATGGGAATGAGGCACAGCAGAGACTGTGGTATATATTGTATATTTGAACATACACACAACCTGAGCCTGCTGGGGTCCACTTATGATGGAGGGGTTCACAGCATTAACAGCCCAAGAGGGACTTGCTTCTGCCAAAGCCACAGCCTTGGATCCCAGCAGAAATCAGCCATCTCTCTCTCTCTCTCTCTCTCTCTCTCTCTCTCTCTCTCTGCAGTTTTTATGTCAGCTTCTGGCTCACTTCCTGGGCATCTGCTGTGGAAGAGGGGGTGCAGGAGGAAAGGCCAGTGGAGGAAGAAGAAAATGCCTCAGAGGAAAGCAAATTACAGGTTGGAGGTGAACAACTGCTTCTTATAGAGCTCTTAATGCATGCCAGCGGTACAGGAGGAGAGACAAGAGGTGGGTGTGCTTGAGCAAGAACTGGTAAAAGGTAAAGAGAGAGAGGTAAAGGACCCCTGGATAGTTAAGTCCAGTCAAAGGCGACTATGGAGTTGCAGCACTCATCTTGCTTTCAAGCTGAGAGAGCCGGTGTTTGTCCACAGACAGCTTTCTGGGTCATGTGGCCAACATGACGAAACCGCTTCTGGCACAACGGAACACCACGAGCACATGGAAATGCCATTTACCTTCCCACCACAGTGGTACCTATTTAACTACTTGCACTGGCGTGCTTTCGAACTGCTAAGTTGGCAGGAGCTGGGACAGAGCAATGGGAGCTCACCCCGTCATGGGGATTCGAACCGCCAACCTTCCGATCGGCAAGCCCAAGAGGCTCAGTGCTTTAGACCACAGCGCCACCTGTGTCCCTGAGGAAGAGCAACCAGTGCCAGAGGAAATGCCAGTGAAAGATGTGTCGTAGGAAAAATTGGAAGTTTGTGTGAACCTGCAGGAGGAGTAGCCACAACCTGAGGAAATGGACTGGAGGAAAATGCATAGGAAAAGTTGGAAAGCTCCCATGCACATGTGCCAGAGGAGTGGCCAGCCTTGGCTGAATTGGGTGAAGTGAAACCATCAAATGGCTTTGTTCCTGGTGTGCCCCAAGATGGCCTTGCAGGGTGGGGATCAGTCTCTACACTGAGTGCAGCCCTTAAGCGGTTCCCTGCAACAAGGGTGACCCAGGGTCCCTTGAGTTTTGAGAAGGTTACCTGCCTTTGTTTAGGCCCATGAGGCATTCAAGAGTCATTAAGAATAAGCAGAGCCCTTAGGGGCCAGACATGATCAGGGGTAACACTGAATTCACCTAGACAGCATCTTAAAAAGCAGAGACATCACCTTGCCAACAAAGGTTAAAGCTATGGTTTTCCCAGTAGTGATGTATGGAAGTGAGAGCTGGACCATAAAGAAGGCTGAGCGCCGAAAAATTGATGCTTTTGAATTATGGTGCTGGAGGAGACTCTTGAGAGTCCCATGGACTGCAAGAAGATCAAGCCTATCCATTCTGAAGGAAATCAGCCCTGAGTGCTCACTGGAAGGACAGATCCTGAAGCTGAGGCTCCAATACTTTGGCCACCTCATGAGAAGAGAAGACTCCTGGAAAAGACCCTGATGTTGGGAAAGATGGAGGGCACAAGGAGAAGGGGACGACAGAGGACAAGATGGTTGGACAGTGTTCTCGAAGCTACCAGAATGAGTTTGACCAAACTGTGGGAGGCAGTGGAAGACAGGAGAGCCTGGCGTGCTCTGGTTCATGGGGTCACAAAGAGTTGGAAACGACTAAATGACTAAACAATAACAACAACACTGAATTGCTTGTTTTGAATTATACGTATGGATATTGCTCATTGCGTTAATGTGTTGCATGTAACCTGAGCATTCTACAGTTGCTTGGAAAGACAACACAGTAACATTTGAATTTTTTTTATGCCAGATTTTAGGCGTTTTATATTTGAATAGGTTTCTTTTAAAGTTTTTAAAATACTATCTGCCCCGAGCATGATTTGTGATGCTGATTGTGAAAAATGTTCTCTTAATAAACTGTTGTTGCCTTTACACTGGTATACTGTATCAGGGGAGGGGAAAACAACTGTCTGAAACTTACAGAATAGCATTCCGAATCCGATCCATTTTATTTGCGCCGGTGAAAGAGGGACTTTTCCTTTGCTTGTTATTGTTTTGGAAGCAGCACTAACTCTACTACTGTTCTCAAGTAATCTGGTTTAATAACATGGTTCTTTTCACTAGGAAAGTTCAGATAAATGGAATTTCACACATTGTTGTGACAGAATGGGGTGAGAAGGAAGCAGAGAAAAGGCTCTTTTAGTGTCCACTGTTGCAATGGCAAGAGAAGGTAAAAGCCTATTATATCAAAGATGATGGTATTCATCAAAGGCTCCTTGCTGCAAAAGAGCAATCTGTTTCTCTCATTTGATCTGTCACCAGTTATCAGTAAACAACAAGGATCTGAGAGAATGACACAGACAGAGGGGGTTGCAGAGGCTTCAGAACACCAATGGCTCTGGACTGCATTTTCTCTCTGTCTCTCATGCTCTTTTCCTCTCTCACACAAGGAGGAGGAAGGCTCAGATCATCAGGCTGCCCACAGTTTTCCTGAGAGGAAGAACTCTCGAATTACGCAGTTGGAGAGAGTTATACAAAATTCCTATGCTTAGAGAGAATGGAAGGGTCTTGCAACCCATGGCATCAGATTATTATTATTTTAAAGGAACCTGTGAAGAAATTAGAGTCTAAATTCAAGGCGCTCACACGTGTTTGTAGTTTGTATAGTTCCTGGCACTGGAGCTAATCCAATCATTTCTCCCCCTTCTCAAGTTGTTAACATATTATTTTGCATTAATCATTATTATTAGCAATAATTGAGCATACTTATGTTCTGAAGAGAGTTGTCACTGGATTTCACATGGAACAAAAGCGAAGCCAAGTATGAAAAGTTCTGTTTGGGAGAAATAGATGTAGGAATGAAGGGAGATGTGTTTTGAGAGAGAGAAAATGCACTTGAGATCAGCTAAACTTATGAAAGGTTGGGGGGCACAGGGGAAAGTGCTGTGTGCATATCAGATTCTGAAGATTGAAGTTCTAGCCATTTCCTCTTGTGTCTTAAAAGGAAGACAGCCTCAGAACTGCTCTAGGGCAGTTTCTGCCCACTTGGTGTCCTACAGATGTCAGACTCCAACTTCAGCCAGCAGAGTCACTGATCAGTGATAATGGCAGCTGTAGTTTAACATCTGGAGGCTGGGGGAGGATGGACTACAGCATGTGTGGGGAACCACTAGTCCTCCAGATGTTGCTGAACTACAACTCCCATCCACCCCAGCAAGCATGACCAATGGCCAGGGTTGGGGGGAACTCTAGCTGAGCAACATCTGGAGTACCAACATTTCCCCACATGTGGTCTATGGAATCCTCTTTGAGGAAGGATATTACCAGCATGTGCTAAACAAATTAGCTCACTGGACCCAAGTTCTACCTACAGATTTCTGATACATCTTTATTACTTTCCCTTTTTACAAGCCTAACTTCTTTCCTTTTGCACTACTACCACCACACTTTCTCGTTTTCGTAAATCCACAGTCCCTGTACTTTGGACCTAAACAGAATATTTGCACATCCCCTTGGATACCTTCTTAAGGCAAGGACTGCTTATAAAATGTTAGAAACAAATGAGTGCCTGTTTTCTGCCTGATCATATAGAAATTGATACATTATTTTATAGAATAAGATTATTTAATATCTTATACTATATAATTTATTTCCAGTTGGTAGAGCATGAGGCTCTTAATCTCAGGGTCATGGGTTTGAGCCCTACACTGAGCAAAAGATTCCTGCATTGCAAAGAGTCGAACTAGATGATCCTTGTGGTCCCTTTCAACTCTGCAACTCTATGATTTATGATTCCATGGTTATTGAGGTGCCTCTGATGAGGTGAGTGGACGGAGGTCACAAGGAAGGGGCCATAGCTTGGTGATAATAGCTCATGGGGTTGTTGTTTTTCAGACAGATGATCCAAGGTTCAACCTCCTGATATATCCAGTAAAAAGAATGAAAGACAATGACCTGGTTGTAGGTGATGGGAAGGATTTCTTCCCCAGATCCTGGGCAGCTGCTGCCAGCCAGAGTAGACAATAAAGGGCCAGTTGGACAAGAAGGTCTGATCTTGTTCTATAGCAACTTCCAAGGTGATCTACACACCATGTAACAGAGACTTCATGCAGTATTCCATACACACAAAAGTATGATTCACACAACCCCCGGTGATCACCCCACTTCCAGGTTTCTGCATGAAGTGTGTGTGATACACACAGCACATGAGTTGTGTGGTAGAGTGAGGAAGCCGTATACCTGCTTCTCCAACACAGGAATTGGCCCACCACTGGTAAGTATCTGAAGAGGGCCACAGAGATTTTCTTTTGCACACAGTAGAATCCTGGACAAAGCAAGACTGTAAGAGGGGGTAAAGGTGTGTGTGTTAAATTTAAAACTAAATGTTGGCGTCTTCATATAAATATGCATTTAACTGCCATGAAACGAGTGAGAGGAGAACTCCACAGAAAATAGTTCTAAACTCCTTAAGGTCATATTTAACGTCACAGCAGCTAGCTCTCCTTGTTAAGAGAAAAATGAGATTTTATACCCCATTTTAAGACCCATTTTAAAAAGCTGTCAAGGTGCCCCCAGAATAGGCATTGCATATGTATCACTGACTGGTGGGGAAGGCTTTCATGTGCACCATTTTTTGATGAGATGCATGCAAGGGAAGAAAGAACAAAGTGCCACTTCTGATCTCTGCTAGTTAGATCACCCTATAAGCCAAGTAAATTGTGGAAGGGTAAAAATTAACAGGTAAAACTTCCATATAAATCATCTGATGTGGGATGGCAGGTGACTACAAATGGTCAACCGGCATCTAAACATGCATTAACTACATCCTTGTCTCCCATCAACCTATCTGCAGTGGCTTGGGAACTTGCCTCCAATTGTGCCCCAAAATATGAAGACCACCTGAAGAAGGGAGAATAACACAAAGGGAAGCAAAAACATGCAACTTCATGTGAGCTGTCACCATTTCTACAGCATGGATTGGCAGGTTAAAGGGTGCTTTACCATTACCAGCACCTATTGGGAAAGCTGGAACTGGAGCAGGAGAAAAGAGCTCTGGATGAAGTGAGTAGATATTAAAGCGCTCAAGGATCTATAGGAGACTGGTGTGTTAGGTCATTGATTCCAGCTAAATATTATCCCAAGTATACCATTCCTCCAGAGTAGACCCCTGGCTGTAGATTCTTCTGGCAGCCAAACAGTCATGACTATACCAATTTCAAGATTCCTATCACCTTTATTTTTGTGGCTCGCGGAACAAAGCAGGAGAACAAGGGTAGGGTTCATGATGTTTTCGGAGGGGTTATGAGGGTGACCAGGTGAAATGACCACAAGACAAGGCACTTCTGGGTGCCTTGGTACCACTGCAGGTTCCTCCAGGTCCCTAGTCATATTGGGGTTCTCCACAGAGTCCCACACCTCTTCCTCAGACAAGGTCTCATTGGGTCTGGGGCAGGCGGGATCCTGGCTGTAGTAGAATAATGGAGCGATTGCAATCTTTCAATGCATATGTGCTCATGGTGTAGAGAGTTTAACCTGCTTAGAGAATACAGATTGCATGTGCAAAAAATTCTGCTAGCTTCCCTCAATATTTGCCTGGGAAAGAAGGAACCTCTAAATAAGCAGGCTTTACTTTTTGCTTAGGGCAAAATTCAGTGGTAACTGAGTGACATGGGTGGTCCACATAGGAAAAAGAAACATTCTTCATCAGGACTCTTTCAAGCATCTAACACAATCCTGCAGAGGTTTTGCCCAAGTAGGAACCTCAAAAAACAAAAAAGGTGACTTCCGGGTTGGCACCTCTGGCAATGGCAGATTTCCTCTGATCGGGAGGAATCTGCTCCGTGGAAAACAGGGTCTGAACCGCCACGGCGAGGCGGAGACCCACTAAAAACCACAGGCAGGAGAAGCCTGTGGACGTGGGATTCGGCTGGCACCTTTGTGCCCCCCCTACTCGCGGGGAAACCCGGTTTCGGGGATCCGGAGCGACGTGGGGTGAGTGGCGCGGTGCTTTGAATCGACTGCTTATTTCACAGAGTGAAGCCGCATTGCTATTGCCGGAGAGCGCTGACCTTTTCCTGTGGACAATTGGATTTTAAACAACTGCCCGTGAGTAGAACGGAAAATTGGATTAAGAATTTTTTTAAAAAAATTGGCACTGAAGTGGGAAGGTCTAAACAGGAAGTCTGCCTTCCGCTTTTGTAGATAGATTGAAGCAAAGACACGGCAAGCTAGAGTTTAGAAAGTCGTCTGTAAAGGATCAAATTTTCATCATTTAAAATTACTGAACCCCCCTTGGAAGCAGGAGAAGAGGGGGGAACCTTTTTTAGACTGTTTAAACCTGCAGAAGAGAGAGTAAAGAAAGGCAATTTTCCACCGTCTTGAACCTGGGAGCGGGGTGTCAGGACAGACGTTCTCGGGAAGTTCATTGACTATGGACAAACGTTTTTGACAGATAGTTAAAAGAAGAGAAACATATTGATTCCATTGTTCCCCTTCGCATTTAAAAGGAACAAAATATTGACAAAATATCTGAAAAAGGAAAACTTTGTTGCTAGATCTGCTTTAAAAAAAAAAAAAGATGGATACAAATAGAAATTGTTTCCCCTAGAGGGAGCTTGTGAAACTTTTATTAAAAACGAACTGGGAGCTTTGCAGCTGCAAAAGATTAAGATCGTGGGACCAGACTTCGACCTTGAACAAGAATGTACTCGGAGGCTCTGGTGCTTGCCTTTTGCAAGACAAGTGCTTTATTGGAACAGTTACATGAGAAGATGGATTTGATGACTGTTGCGATTGGAAATTTTGGACAGGCAGTGGGTACCTATATAGAACCCACTCAGGAATTAATCCAGGAATGTGCTTTGACAGATCAGATGAGGGAGGAGGTTGTTGCTGGACCTCGGGAGGCAGAGATGGAGGGAACTGTGGCCCAGCAGGAATATGAGTTGTTGGATTCGACGAACGAACCTGGAAAAAGTCAGATTTGGAGAGATGGAGTCCAGTTTGGCTTGGAGATGGTGGGCTGGATAGACCCCCTATGCAAGGATGTTTTGACCCAAGTCTGGCTTTGGGCCGGGGGGAGCTCGGAGTTGTGGGGGCCTTTAACTTTGGAGGGACCTTGAAACATGCCTTTAAATACCACATGGATTTCAGCGTTGACTATGGAAAAGGGGCTGACTTGTCGAGAAGGGACAAAAATATTGTCAAGCTGGAGTCTCCCCGAGTGAAAGGAGCAGAAGACAAAGTAAAGTACAGGTATAAATATGAAGAAGACCTGCGGAAGGGACATGGAAGAGACTTAAGAGCCTCGGACATAAGGTCACCAGGTTGATGGACTAGATGGATGGGATAGAAAGGACTGACAAAACCCGAGACCAGGAAGAAGAGACGATGGATGAAGATTGGAAGAAAGTTTTAAAAATTCATTTAGAAAAGTTTCGTAAAATTAATGAGTATTAGAAAAATGTTGGAATGAAATTATTTGGCTTTAGCAGAAATGTTAAAAAGAATCATGTAAGAATATGTTATGGTTAAGAGAATTTGGTATAAATAAGATTTAAGTTTTAAGTTTTAGGGTTTTTTACGGTAAGATAAGGTTAAAATAGATTAAGGTAATTTAATGACAGAATATTATGAAAGATGGAAAGGATTTGCTGAGATAATTAACAACTAGAATACAAAAAAGGGAGGTGTGAGGAGGTCGATGAAATAAGGTAATGACAGTTAAGGATCTGGGAATATTGGATCTATTTTTAAATTTTTTGTTTATTTTTGCTTTTTGATTTTGATGTATTGTGTGTTTTGTTTTTTTCTTTTTGACTTTGGTTTTTACTGATTTGTATTGTTTAATTGTTACTTTTATCTACTTTTTTCTTTCTTTTTCTCTTTCTCTTGTTTTTTCCTTCTTTTTTCTTTGTAATCTTAAAATTCTCAATAAATATCATTTTAAAAAACAAAAACAAAAAACAGTTGTATCAGCGAAACAGTACTTTGTTTAGAAAATACTGGTCACCATTTTGATCAAGATGCTAAGTTGATAAGCAGCCAGCAACCATCTCCTGCATTTTTGTAACTTCTACCAACAGGTTTGCGTTTGTGGTTTGTGTATTGTAATGTTTCACTGCCTTAGTAAGGCACATTGGTTCCATTTATGAAAGTAAGCTTAGGTATACATTCTAGAAAGAAAGAAAGAAAGAAAGAAAGAAAGGAAGGAAGGAAGGAAGGAAGGAAGGAAGGAAGGGTCTGCTTCTCCTGTGCTTGTATCCCCAATCCTCATCAAAATTCCATTATCAGTCCTGGAATTTTAATAGTTCCCTGAATAGATGGGAAGTTTTCCAGTGACCTACTTTCACTGACCTGCATGAAAGAGTCTCTCTCTCTTTCTCTCCCATCCCCTCCAACTCACACCCATCTGTGTTCACCAGGCTGCTTGTAGTTGCAGTTGTGGTATGCCTTCTGACTCATTTCAATTCTTTCATACAAATTTGTCATTCTTGAAGAATAGTATCTGCCCGAAAGCTAAATCATGTAGCATATATCATACTGTGATGTCTTTGGATACATCCTCATATATGGTTTGAAGGATGCCGTCTGATTTGCAAAATAAAAATAAAAATCCCCCAATAGACTGAATTCTATTATTTATTCTTTTCTTTTTAAAAAAGGAGGAGATGAATATTTCCAGAGAAAGATCAAGATTTTTGATATGTTAACTGTAT